GTCAAAAGACATTATTATTAACACATCAAAGGAGTTGAATAAGCGTGGTACAGTTACGTAGTAAGATGAATAGTTTAATCAGTGAGTTGTGATTAGGATGCGCGCAGAAAAAAAGGAAAATATGGAATTATGTATTATTATTATTGTATCCTTTAATTCCTAGAGGAACATAGGGCTTCAGCCGCGCATCTCCATTGCCTTAGGTTTTCTGCCGACTTTTTCACCCCAACTCCAAATCTGCCCACATGCTCTCATCTCCTCCTCAAATGACCTCCTCCAAGTCACCCTTGGACGACCAACTCACCGCTTCCTTTTCGGGTTCTACTCGAGGGCCTGTCTAGTGATGCCACTAAAGAACATCGACCCCCGACGAAATCAGAAGTCCTGAATGCAGTCAAGATGCTAAAAGCTGGAAAAGCAGCAGGACCAGACGGAATCCCAGCAGAAGCTTTGAAAATGGACCCAGAGACAACAGCGGACTTGATGACGCCATTGATAGAGAAGGTGTGGAAGGAGGACAAAGTACCCGAGCATTCGAAGAAAGGATACTTATTCAAACTACCAAAGAAAGGAGACTTAAGTCAATGCAAAAACTGGCGCGGATTTATACTCCTGTCGATCCCAAGCAAAATACTAAGCCGCATCATCCTGGAGAGAATCAAACAAGCCAACCTGGATGAAAAACTTCGACCGGAACAAGCTGGATTCAGGAGAAACAGGTCATGTATTGATCAAATCGCCACACTGCGGATCATCATTGAACAAAGCTTGGAATGGCCCTCAGTCACCTCTCTATCTTAACTCCATCGACTTCGAAAAGGCATTCGACAGCTAGTGTCGATCGAGAGGTGATTTGGCAACTACTTCGCTACTACGGGATGCCATCGACAATTATATATCTCATCTAACAGTCATATGACAATGATGCATGCCAAGTAATCCACAACGGGAAACTCACGGAAGCCTTAAAGTGAGGATGGGAGTGAGGCAAGGTTGTCTACTATCGCCAAGTGAATTCACAGCAAAAGGGCAACAAGCGACAACAACATACAACAATACAGTTAAGCACAGTTAACTAAAATGATACCAAAACCATAGATCAACTGACTTGGGCCAACTTGAACATATAAATCCAACAATATATACAATTATAGATATGTTTGTGTTAAAAAGTCACCAAAATGCCAAACAGTTAGTTCTAGGTATTAATAGTCAACAAGATTATATCCACAGGTTTAGTGTTCGAAAGTAAACGAATTGCAATGATTTCCAAAACTTCGTGGTGAAAAAAAAACCCCAGAGAAATGAGAGTTTTATGTAACTAAGCAATTGTAGCGCACCAATCGAAAAGCCATGGAATTATGTAAAAGTTCCAAAAATTATAAATGTTATAAAGGGTTAGGAACAAAATAACTAACAAACAGGCAAACATCAAGTCAGTAGAAGTCAACACTCAGTTGTTATCATGATAGCAGAAGTGGTTGGATGATTTTCTTTTCGTATGCATAACTCTGCTTGCTCCGAGTGGACACAAGTTAGTAACTAGTGTGATGTGTGTCTAGTCCTTTCTTTGGTGCAAACTGAATTCTATAAGTCAGTCAGGTTTTGCAATGTGGCCACCATTCTGGATAGCTCGCCATCACGGTTCATATTGATTTGATGATAGTAGATGGTTGGAGGCAATCGGCCACAGGAAGCCCTACCTCACCTAGGTTTCATGCTAGTTGACACTGGTCAGCAGGGTGTATCTGCAACCTTGAAGGAACCATGTCTAATATCATCAAATCAATGTGCACCGTGATGGCAAGCCACCTACTGTCATGGTGGCCACATTGCAAAACCTGACTGACTTATAGAATTAAGTCTGCACCAAAGAAAGGGCTAGACACATCACACTAGTTTCCAACCAGTGTCCAATTAAAAATATCCAATACAATACTACAGGAGGTGAATCGCGAGCCCGAATAGCTCAGTGGTAGCGTCTCTGACTATTGAGAGCACTGGGTGACGTGGATTCGAATCTCAGAAGGGACATGAGTACCTTCAAGGTAGTTGCAGATACGTCTTGCTGACTGACTGGTGAGTGCTAACTAGCTCGAAGCCTAGGTGAGGTAGGGTTTCCTGTGGCCGATTGCCACCAACCATCTGATATCATCAAATCTGCCTTCTCCGACTGAATAGTTAAAGCATCAGCAATACAAAAGAAACGAAAGCGTTACTGCTTTTGGTAGATTGTTCTTCACTTTGTAGATTACTTTGAAAGAGGTATTTTATTGAGATGGAATAGTCAGTGTTGGCAAGGTGTCGGATGATCGCACTGCTTATATATAGAACCGCTATTACCTTTCTGCAGGGATGTGGAACAGTGTGTTCTTGACCCCCGCCCCTTTTTTTAATAAAGACCTTCGAGTACTCTTTATTTACCAGCACAAATTCACATATTTTTTTTATACAACTTAGTCCACCTACTTTGATCTTAGACACACACACACACACACACAATCATCATAGTCTGTGATTGTGGATAAAAAACAATAGCAACTGACAATATACGTGAACTTGGATTACTCATCATTATCATCAGCATTGTAGAGAAAATTTCGTTATTGTCTCTTATATTGAATATAACTTATCACAGTGATAAATAAATGAGCAATTGTTCTTAGTGTGTGGTATGTTGTTATAATCAATAAATTGCTATTTGACAATTTGAAAAATATTCATTGTTTTATCAAACAAGTTATATGTATAGATCTCTTTCTGTGTAATGATCTCATCTTTAACAATGAGCAGTAATCATTAGATTTTTTCAAAAGAATGGATAATGAACAAAGAATACCTTTTTTCGACAACTTCGTCATCAGGCTCTACAGTTATATATGCATCCATTATAGTGAATGAATGAATGAATTAGTGTTATGAACAACATTAATGTTGCTGTTTAAATAACATCGAATTGATAATATTGGTAGATTACAGATGAATCGCATCAACATAAAATAAGCTGAATATCAGAAAAATTAGGAAAGATAACAATAATACAAATTCATGAATTTATAGTCTCTACTGAAGGCTGGCCAGGGCAGAGTATTGGTTGTTTCAGACGAATCGCAATAGCCTCTGCTGTTTGGAGCATGCAGTGCTTCGATGATTTTGGCAATTTATTAGGCACCCGGTAGATGATTGTGGAGAAGGCTTCTCCCACACTGGCTGGATTTGTGGCCGGCCGGTTCGCACCAGAGGGTCGAATAGTGAACTGTTAATGATTTTCAATACACCTTTACTTAGCCATAGTGGGAGATGCTCCTGAGCGAGCATGAAAAAATAAAGTTCATAGAACAACGGCCAATATAACTGATATGTATCCACATATATATATTTATGTGTGTGTGTATGTTGGTCTCGCTTTCTGTTTGCTCGCTTAGTCTGTGACCATTTCACTTGTATGAACCTGTCTCCTTTAACAATGTATATTCTCCTTATATTATATTATATATAATATGAGTGTTTGTTGACAGTCCGTTGCTTGGTGACATATATCCATATATGGTGGTTGTTGACATGTCTGCTATATTTCGCTATGTATATGTGGATCGATACTTCATTATAATTAGCCATTCATGTTAAGACTGCCTAATGATTGTTCACACCCTTGTCATATATATATTTTGTTCTCACAATTTGTGTGACTTACTTACTTACTTTTGGTGTGGTACCACTTATTGCTTCTCCTTGTGTTTGGAAAATAGAAGTATCATCGCAAACCTAGTGGTCTTCTGATTTCCGCCTTCTCGCGTCAGGACTATTAAATTCTCGACCAGTCCATAACAATAATTTAGCGACGAGAATATAACAATAACTCACTCCATCACAAGCACAGTTGAATTGGTAGATACAAATTGAAGTGGCTAGCTAGTCTAGGTACTTCATCTTTCAGTTGAGGTAGCACCATCGGTCGTGTAGAGAATAAGACGTGTAGTTCGCCACCAGCATTAAAAGTCCTTTGAACTGATTTTCTTAATCTCCTCGTAATTATCTCACTTGATATATCGCCCTTGAATTGTAGTCGTATATAAAGTGACTTCTTGTTTACAGATAGTGAGTAGTACTTTTCCACTTTCTTCGTCATGTGTTTCTTGATAAATTTTTTTCTCGAGATAACCATTTTCGAATAAAGGGTCATATACAATTCTTAATTCATCTTCAATTACTTCTTCTGAGCATATAGCTCAAACTCTGTGGCTGAGGGTCTTCTTTAAATTTCTTTTGTACTTGATGGGAACGACGCTGTGAAAATGTGTATATTGTCCTGTCCAAGTACTTTTTCTATGCAAATTTTTTTTATGCTACCATCTGGTTTTCTTGTAAGTAGGAAATCCATGAAGGCAATTCTGTCTTGGGATTCCTCTTCACATAGGAATTTCAAAGCCGAATGTACTTCATTGAATTCAGTAATTATTTTTATCCTATCATTAGATTCATCTGCACATGTATAAATATCACACACACACACACGCTACATGTAAACTTCACCATTACATTTTCATCATTCTAAGTTAGCAAAGTCCTCACTACCTACGCAAGGAAGCCCTATTATTTCATTCATTTATTCAATGATCAATATATTTTATTCTTCCAGTCATTATGTTCATGAATATTCTCGAGAGTCAGTTTGTAGAGGGATTCATAATTGGGATTTCAAGTCTAGTTAACATTGCACTGATCAAGGCACTCTACTTGAAATCAAGCAGACAGGTAAGATTTTGCGGAGATTTGTCAGTGTGAAGTGATGATAACTACTGGTGTATGTCGGGGATCGCCACGTTCCCCATTTCTTTTTAATTCCATCATTAATTTACCAATGGAATTAACTCTACGTGACTTCAGCGATTTAGGGAATAATCTTGTTGATTTGAAATATGAGGATGATATAGTCTTTGTATAGGTGAAGAAGCTGACAAGATACAGAGTCTTCTGAACACCTTGAAGAGCTGCAGTCTTCGAACGTTTGGAGTGCGATTTGCTCCTGTCAAAATGTAAGATGAGGCTACAGGACTTCACTAAACTACGTCGACTCCTACTAAGTGAAGTGGTCGGTGGAGCGTGTTAACCACTTCGCTTATTTGGGATGTTGCATCAGCCGGTGTCAACGGGTTGATCGCTGATGAAATCTCAGATCAGATCCAAAGGGTCGGGTGGCATTCGTCAACTTATGCCATCCCTGGAGAAGACGTGATATCTGACTGGTTATAGATCAAAGGAAGTGTGTACTGCGCGTTAGTTTGCTGTGTCCTCCTCTATGATTGTGAGCGAGACATGGCCACCGAGAGTGGAAGACTGGCTAGCCGTTTTTGATCAATAGTTTTGTGTGTTCTATCTCCCATTTCAAACGGTATAATAGAGTGAGCAATATTGAGGTTAGGTGCAGAGTGTTAGGTAAGGAGGGAAAGTCAGTCGACGAGATTGTGAGGTCACATCGATTGACATGGTTAGGATATGAGTTACGCATGTATGTCTAGGTACCGCCTTCCTCGACGGGGTTGAGTTGAAAAAGAGCTAGTGGTGAAACCAAAACTTGACATCGGTCCATGAAATCTTTAGCAGTTATTTTGAGCCAGCCACGTACGGAGTTTTCTAAAGAAATACAAAAGTTATAAGGAGTTAGAAAACAACAAATCAAGTAGGTAGAAATCAACCTGATCGTTAAATGATAGTAGGATTGTTAATATATGTGTAAGACTTGGGCACTGTGGTAGTAGGTAATTCCATAATACTTTGTTTATTAGATGTATCACACAGTGATGAAACAGTATTACTGTTTACTGGATGAAAAGGTTTCGAACAAAATTTATTGTCCATAATCATATCATCAGTTGTAATCACACGACTTTGAAACTTGGGGTTTATAGTTTTCTTTGTCTTCTCCTATTTGTCGTCGTTAGGGAAATAGAATTTTCCAGATGTCCAGCTGGACAGATGTTGAATCATTCCTATAACACGTGCTCTCTTCACTTGATTCGATAAATAAAGCTTCCGTTATCAATCACTCCCTCCATTCACCCTGTGACATAAGATTTTAAAACTGTCATCCTATCGCATCCATGCTATTGTATGGTTGTGTGTAATTGCATGTAGTGAGTGGTATAGCTGAACTATTCTCTAGATTTCTTATCTTATTTGGGTCAACCAAAGTTTTCCGAGGTTCCTTCCTTGTATGGAATTACTACCGATGATTTAGATTCCTTATTGTTGGTTTTGCCATTATCTTACGCATGTTTGACATGCATGTCATTATTACTATTATTATCACTATCACTACTATTATTATTTATTTTATTTTTACATTTCCATACATATTTCCGGACTAATTTATCAGGGTAATTATTAAGTTTCAAGGCTTCTCTTATATACCACACTTCCTGTCTTAGATTTTCCATGGTAATGCTTGGTTTTTGTGCTCCGTCACTTAGACATTTCACCAATCCTATTTTTACTGACATAGGATGTGATGATCGGAAGTCCAGATATCTGTTTGAATTCGATTCGACCCTAAACCCCAGTCTTAACCTCGCCGAAGACACTGGCTAGTGGTCGCGCTCCGTCGTAAATTAGCAGAAGTTAGAGTTCATAGGCTGGCCATTGGATTGGGTCTCAGTGGCTGGCTTAATGGTCTACGAACTCGCCTTATAACCAGGACGTCCTATTTTCGAACCTCGGTGGATGCGTACCGTTGAAGAGTCCCAAACTAGGACGAAACAGCCCCCCAGTACTCCCAGTTGCTTTTCGAATTATTCTCTAACCAATGTCAGCTGATGATGAAATCCTCAACCTTAAGATTAGCTGACATTGTAGATTTAGAGAGAAACGTACCACGGAAAAATGTGTATGGCCACACCAAATCCTCAAACTCAAGCAGGATTTGATTTGGAATGATCTATTTTGCAGCATCCTTTAAATTTGATTGGCTCTTCAAGGTCAATGTTTTATAGACTTTGAGTATGATAGTTTGTCCTCGCCTTTAGTTCCATCCAAGATACAATGTAATGGCTTTCTTACTTTTTCTAGTGGAGTCAACCGTGCACCAAGCAATGATCCTACTGTAATTCGTAGGAGAGGTATCATAGACGGAGAGTACCCAGACTGATAAAGTATCTTCTGAGTGATCCTTAAAATTGGAAATCGATCAAAGAAGGGAGATGATATTAGGACGGATAACCTATTGTTGTTATGCACGGAGTTATGACTGATGCATGAGCTGGATATGATAATCTGATCGAACAGTTTTCGACTGACATATATATTTGGAGGATCTTCAAAGTAATACAACCAATCAGATATTGATGATTTATTTATATCATCAATTTCCCAAAGGATTTGTAAACTAGAAATATACCTCATATTTGGAATAATAAAACTTTGTCACAGCTAAATCTGATTATTGTATTTATGTTCTTTATCAACTACATTCAACAACTGACTACATGACAATGCCACTGGTAAAGTGATACACAACGGAAAGCTCAGAGAGAAGACTTTTTTCAGTGAATACAGCAGTAAGGTAAGACTGCCTGTTATCACCGATGATATTCTTAATTATGGTGGACTGAATTATCCATCAGACTGTGCACAGAGAATGAGAAGACAGGAATACGTTGGACAGTCGATAAGCAGTCTCTAGAAGATCTGGATTTCGGGCGTAGATGATTTATGTTTAATGTCACACAGACTCGAATACTTGCAGGCGAAAACCAACAAACTGACAATAGGGACTGGCGACCGGTGGAGACAGGACTCCACGTAAACACATGGAAGACGGAGGTGGTGAAGAAAATGCCCTACCAGCCAATCAACCAACAGCACCCAGCACCAATCACCACCAAAGGGAGAGATTTGACAGAGGTTACTTCCTGGCTTCACTTATCTAGGAAGCATAGTTTCGACCACATGCACTCGGAATAGATGAAGATGTCAAAGCCAGCCAGCCAGCCAGAATCATCAATCTGAAACCAGTTTTGAAATCTCTTGCACTCATTCAGCATAAACAACATGATTCGGATTTTGTTCAACACAAATGTTAGTGAAATCAGTCACTGATTCTATACAGGTCATAAACTTGCTGTATGCAGGCGTCATGAAAAGGATTTCCAACAGGTCACTGAAGAATTTCAACAACAGCTGTCTCCATACTGAAGATCAAATAGCCGATGGAAAAAGTTAGCAACAAGAAACTCACCCTGGCAACAAACCAACCAAGAGCCGATCACTCATCAAATATGTAGAAGAAAATGGAGATGGATTGGTTGGGCATACGTTGAGGAAGTCATCGAATGACATTCAGTGCAATGCAGGCCATCGCTCGAGTCGAATCCCAATGGGAAACAGTGAGTGGGTCGTCCGAGGGTGACATGGAGTAGATCATGGGACGAGGAGATGAGAGATTACAGGCAGTCGTGCACGCAGATGAAGAGGACAGCAGCAAACAAAAAAAGGCGGAGATGTCTTGTTGAAGCCCTATGTTCTACTAAGAACCTGAGGGAACAATAATAATATAGTAATGTCAATATGGAAAAAAGTTGGCAGAAGAAGCATCGAAGATACGACTCCAAGTAAACATAGAAAAAACGAGCATATCAAAGCAAGGATCAGGAAACCAAGGCAAGCTCTCATTTCTCTCAAGACTGTATGGAGGTCAACATCACTCAGAATGAAAATAAGATCTGGATTTTCAACTCCAATGTGAAGTCAGTCAGTGCTACTATATGGATCAGAGATTTGGCGCCGTGTCACGAAGGGCACTTCGAACAAACTACAGACCTTCATAAACAGTTGTCTTCGCTCAACACCACTCAAGATCAGATGGCCGGTCGGCCAGAAAAGATCATCAACAGGGATCTGAGGCAATGAGCAAACCAACCAGGAGCCGATTGTGAAACAAATAGACAGGAAGAAATGGAGATGGATTGGCTGGCCATACGCTGAGGAAACCATCAAGTGATATCACTAGACAAGCCATCGCTCCAGTGGAACCCGAAATGGAAGCGGTGAGTTGGTCGTTAGTGCAAGGGTGACTTGGAGGAGATAATGTGAAGAAGAGATGAAAGCATGTGGGCAGACATGGAGCCAGGTGAAAACTTTAGCAGAGAACCGAACGCGATGGAGACGTGCAGCTGAAGCCCTATGTTCGGCTAGGAATTAAAGGAAATAATAATAATATCAGTATGGAAGAATATTTTCAAGTGGCCAGTTTTCTAGAGGGTCATTCTAGAGTCAAGTTAAACGACAACCACAAAATCAGTAAACACTTTAAGCTACACAAGGTATGAGCCACGATAAAGGAAATCATTCACTCAGTAATTCAGAGAGATTCATAAATACCTTCAACCAAAAGTAGTACATATCAATCTTTTGTCAGTCACACCTAAACCGCTTCACTTTCCGGAAATCAATATTATAAAAATCATTTAAAATTTATATTATTATTCACACAGAATATAAAAAATATTCTTCAGGTCATTATTTGATAATTAAAGTACTAAAAGGAAAAAAGATTTACTGCAAGTGCATTTGATAGCTTAATTCACACCTTAATATCGTCTTTTTTTAAACTTAATTAGGGTGTGATTTCTTAGAAAAAAGTTATTACAAACTAAAGTACAATAAATTAAGTACAAGTGATAATAAAATATGTCTTGAACTAATCAGACATTAACAGAAAAAAGAACCTAATCAGCAAAGTGAGAAAGTTACAAATTAGAAATCAATCAATTATCCACACCAGAACCCGATGGTCATCAAGTAATAGAAACAATAATACACGTTTCCAGTTGTTCATACTTTTGACTTTCATTTTCATCTGTTACTGGGAATTGGCATAAACGGATTAATTTACAAGTATTGCTTGTTTAGGGATTTTGTTCGATTGGTTGGAGGATTTCATCATGAGCTGACATCAGTTAGAGAACCATTGAAAAAACCAGCTGGGAGTACTAGACAGCGGTTTCATCCGGCCGGCTTGGAATTCTTCATCAGCACGCACCTACCGGGGTTCGAACCCAGGACCAGTGACGGTGACCGGTAGGATACAGTAAATTGAAGGTGAAGCCAGTTACTCATAGAAGAAGGAATTGCGAAGTGGTCGCGCTATGTCGTGAATTGGCAGAAGCTGGAATTCATCGACTGGCCATTTGATTGGGTTCCAGTGGCTCGATGGTCTACTACCTCACTAGCCTTGTAACCGGAAGGTCCTGGGTTAGAGCCCCGGTGGATGTGTGCCGATGAAGAGCCCCAAACTAGGCGAAACAGCCGTTAAGTGCTCCCAGTTGGTTTTTCAATGGTTCTCTAACTGATATCGGCTCATGATGAAATTCTCCGACCAATAAACGGATTAATAAAGCAATTCAGAAAAAAACGACAAAAAGTACGAACTATTTTTAACAACACAATCTAAATCTTTCGATTATTTTACAATAAGGAAAACACTACATACTTGTTTCTTAGAAATTAGGTACAATCCTCATGAAAAGTAAACTCTACTCTGACTCTGTGATAAGAAAATAAAACTGAAAATCTTCTGAACTTTTGAAATTGAGGTACGAAGGTTCGAGGGCCAGGATTAGACTGATAATATTTTGTGTAAAGCAATTCCTGCATGTCTCCCTTCGGGGATGATTTCTGACCTACAACTTTTCATAGTACTGGAACACTACAATTACAATGGGCTCGCCAGGTAACTCGGTGGTCATGGAATCGATAGCCGGTTGGGGTGAAAAGACCTGAACTGGGGCGAAACACCTGTGTAGTACTCTCTGGATTTCTAACTTATGTCAGTTCACGATCTAACTTGAAAAGAATCAAATGCTTTCATGCTAACTTTGAAAAATCACATATGAATTCACGTATTTTCCATATGACAAATAACATACATACACACACACGCATACAAATCTAATCTTTTCAAATCAACTATAGAAAAGTAAACACAACAACAATTTGACATTAGTCATTACAAATATAAATGAGGACTGCTTACATATTTCTACTGGTAAAATAATGTCCATGGACAAATGACCTTTAAATAAACTGACTTCATTTTATGTAAAAATTTTGACTATATATTTCGATAATTAATTATAATCCGAATAAATCTGATGAAGAAGCTGTGGCTTACACGGCGAAACGTTCAGAAAAATCTTCTTTTGATTTTCTTAACACGCTGGGATTTATTTAAATAATTTATTATGAATCAATCTGACTCGGCGCTCAAATTATTCCAGCAAGTTCGTAACACCTACGGTCTGGAAACCTATAATACGATTTATAAGGTTAAGAAACGAGCGTCTAACTTCATAGATCTCAACTATCTTACATAGATAACACCTCCTTTCTATGTTATTTCCATAACATATAAAACACCGCACATCGTAATAAGATATTGTTAACCATAAAATACGTAATTGAGCAAATTGGGAAACGTACTGAGTGATCAATACTTTTCATTCTTCAAATCCTGGATTCATTTTATAAATGCTCAAACATTAAAAGGTCACATATATGGAGGATCCTTCCACCAGCCTGCTCCTGAAGGAACAGCTCCAGCCGAATTGCTATTGAACACAATAACCTCGGTTGACCAGATCATGTCAATTAGCTAAGCTTAAGTTTATAAGGAGGGTTTGATTGGTGGTTTCAAGTTTAATATCACTGCCAACCACTGAAAATCAAGGTGTACAGTTTCATCCTAGTTTCTGTGGAGTTCACACTCAACCTCACCAGCAGTGATCGAACCCAAAATACACAGAGTATGAGGAGTTTTTTTGACCATTCGATCAGTTGGATGGATTCCAGTGACCCATGAACTTTAACTACGCTAGCCAATTTTATCAGCAAGTATTTGTTGTCACACTGAACTTGGTGGATCTAATGCTTATTGGTTAATATAAGTTAGATTTCATAAGCCATAGGATTTTACCCCTGTGTGTGGTTAACAAGCACATCTCCCGTAATCTGAAAGTCCCAGTTTCAATCCTTGGTGGAATCTTGGGTTCGTACTGCTGAGGAGTCTCAAGGTAGACAGAAATGGCTTCCCAGTACTCCATTGTTTCCTCAAATGGTTCTCTAAATGATATCAGTCGGTGTTCAGATCTGAAAAGCTATTATTATGAAAACAAACTCAACATTATACTACCAGTACCACGTTATAACAACACAGACGATTCACCTAATTTATATATGAACCTTAACAAGAACAAAACAATTCCAACAGTGGTGTGAACACTGCTCGAAATATTACCAATAACAAAACTTATCATTGTGTGTAGATCCCTGAAATATAATTATAATTTATTTGTTCTATTCCACAATGCTCAAACTTTTTACTGACACTAATTAACAAGAAATATTTGCATTACACAAAAATTCAGAAAATATAAAGTCTTATCAATCATAAACATGCCACAAGGAACTTTAATTGGATACTAGGTAACAACTAGTGTCAGAAGTCTAGACCTCTGGTCGGTGTAGACTGAATCCTATCAGTTAAATTTACAATGTTGGCAGCATGCTAGGTGACACGTTATCATGGTGCACTCTGTCCTTTTTTTTGTCCTGCAACCGGCAGAAAGCCTTCAGCCATCTAGGATTCGTGTTTGTTGGCACTCACCAGTGAGAAAGGCGTATCTGCACTCACCTTGAAGGAATTCCCATGTCCCTTTTGAGATGTGAACCGGAATCACCCAGTGCTGCCAGTAGTCAGAGACGTTACCCAAATCCAATTTTTATGTTAATAATACAATAGCATTTTTGATAAAACTCATAACAGTAGTAACTGTGAAATTCCCCTACTATTTTGAAAATAATTAGGAACGGATTCCAGAGATTACAACATCATATGAGGATTGGTGGGGGGGGGCGCGGGGCGGGAAATTGTATTTCATGAATAGTATTCATACGCCTTTTGGCACCAGTCTGCACGAGCAAAGAATATAACCCATCAACTAGGAAAGTATTACAGTATTACACTATCAGTGGTGCAGAGGTGGTCCGGGGATTCGATCCCCGGCCGACGCACTCCCAAACCTCGCTTAGCTGGTAATAAGCTCGGCAAAGAGAGGAGGTTTGACATGAGACTAAGCAATCCTACCCCATAAAAATAAAGCCACCGCTACTGAAACGTCAAAGCTCTAACTTGAAGCCTTCTATTCCACCGGGAACGAAAAGGAATAAAAGCAAGTACTATTAGTGATGACTGTGAAGCTAACCAGTAACCATTCTGTACTTGTAGTAAGCACAAATTAGCAGACTGAATCGACGTATTAACCCATGTGAAATACAGTCACAGATTACATTATCATCCGAAGTGGGCAGATTCACAAAAACGCGCTGACGAGATCGCTGGATGATGTTGCGCGCCAGGCCCCTGAGTGGAACATGAATGGAAACGACGAGTTGAACATAACTTCGAGAATGGCATATAGGAGATGAAAGCTAGTGGGCAATTGTGGAGTCAGTTAAAGAGAACTGCAATGAACAGGACATAATGGAGGTCTGTCGATTAGGTTAAGTGTTCCACTCGGAACCCAAGGGAATACCAACAACAACAATAATAATATATAAGCCAAAAAAGCAAAGTTCGGCTATTTATCGTCAAATGATGGGTAGAATACCAAGACCAGTTGACGTTTAGACACAAACTGATGCCAAAATCTTTAAGTCTAGGAATAAACTACCCAGATATACAGAAACAACCCCCCCCCATTCCAACACGTCCTTCCCCCTTCTCAAAACAACATACATAGACAAATAAACAAATGAAGGCCGTCAACATACTTTTCTTTATCGTAGTAAAAAAGAAAAAGAGAGAGAGAACATACAACAACTTCCATATTCACATACACAATCAATCTCCAATGGGACCTAATTATCTTCGTATTTTCAGACTGCTTCTTAGTGTCACACACACACATACATATATTCATCCAAAATCAGTATAGAGCGAGAGAGAGACAAGCTGACGAAACTTGTTTGTTTTGACGAAAGTACAAAATACTGTGAAGTGTGTCGGAAGCATTGAAGTCTTGCAAACTAAGCACAATCATTATTAGGATGCATACACGCACACACGGACAAACACACACACATACACACATGCACACGTGTATATTCATTCCTCAGTTTTTGAAATGATCATGTTTTTTGCTATAAATTAAAAAACGACTGTCATGCTGGTCTTCTTCTGTCAGTCAGTTGATTGGTTAATTGTGATCGACTGGTTGATTGATTGAGCAGTTAGTTAGTCATTATTACCTAACTCAGTATACATCATATCATATCATAGTATGCTCGCGCGCTCATTAGAAAACATTGTTTTTTGCATAACCTAAAGGAAATTCGTCATAGATTGTCTTTCATCGTAACAGAATTGGAAGAAATAATTGAAAAAAGACAAAAACAACAACAGAGTAGTGGAAGAGAAGGCGGAAGAGAAAAACGCGAGAGAAATCATGACAGAAAAAAACAACACATCAGGTGACAGTGATTGTAAAGTCGTCAATTTACAAGGCCGTGACTGTGTGGAGGAGGCAGAGGAGGAGGGAAGTAAAGAAAAAGGAAAGTAGATAGATAGATATATGTACATGTGTAGTTTTGCTTCTTGGTTTGTGTAGTAGGAGTAGTGCTATCATCTCTGGAAAACAACACACACACACACACAAGAAAAGAACAAGTGAATGCATGAATTACTGATTGCATTAACAAAAAGAAATGCAATTCAATGCACAGTCTATCTGCCCATCTCAGTGTGTATGTATATCAACCTGAAAGAATATTGAATATTATGAGAAGCACAAATTATGAAAAGACATAATATGTTGTATTTATTGACTTATTTCACCCACCCTAAGGAGATGATGGATTGAGGAGAGTACAGCTAGTGGGTAGACGAACTTCAGAACTACCACCACTTACAGTTGTATCTTTCTTTGGTGGAGATTTTGAATGCTTTTGTGCTGGTGGTGGTGGTTGTTTATTACTGACACTAGAAGCTACTGCTGCTGCTGCTGAATGAGGATTTTTCTTCCGCCTATTCAATGGTATAGTAGTAGTTGATGTAGGCGAGGCGGTGGTTTCATTCAATCCAGCTTCACTACAACGACGGCCAGAAGCAGTAGAGTTCGATGATGAATCGCGTTTTTTATCAGCCAGCTTACTCTTCCTAAGTAATTTATCATCTGACTGACATTCAGTGCTTGATGATGATGAACCACCACCACCACCACCAAGACGACGACTACTGCCATTCATTTCAAGGTTAGGCGAAGACAAACAATTCCCTGTTTGACAGGTTGTAGAACTTGAAGCAGAGGAATGATTTGTTGAAGGAGGAGGAGGAGGATCAAGTGATGAAGGAACTTCTCCACTCGGTAGACTGGATAAACAATCAAAATCTGATGAAGGGATAGTTTCTTGCTGAAAGTTTGAACAATGATGTGTGTCAGTGGTAGGTTCTGTTACATTGGATTTAACAGTATTCTCGGTAGCAACAACCACGAGGTCACCATGTGATGTATTTTCAATCCCTGTAGTCTGCTGCTGCTGCTGACACGGCATAATATCACTTTCTGAAGAGTTGATAGAATTCATAGGACATAATTTTTGTCCATCTCCATCATTAGACCAAACCTGTGTATCACATGATGATACAACATTATCAGACTGACATGTAGACGACGATGGTGGCGATGTGTTGTTAACTGTTGAATTAAAAGACATCCCTTGAAATTCAGAAGTCATTAAACCAACAGTATTCAAATTTGTTGTTTCTGGAAGAGAACATTGTAAATTTTGTACCTGACAAACAGCACTGGGTACGTTGGAAGAAAGAAGTGACTTTTGATGACTAACACCACTACTACTACTGGTTGGGAAATTTGCCGATACAGACCCATTTGATGCTGCGGCTGCAGCTAATGATGATGACGAAGATGACGACACTGATTGATAGAGACCACTACTACTACTAATTGGTGCTGGTGGTGTAGGCGTTACAACCACCATTTGAGAACCGCTTGCCACTGTTGTGGGAACAGCCTAGAAGAAAAATGAAGAGCTTTGAATCAATAATGCTGGGGAAAAAAGCAATTTAGAATAAATAAACAATGACAAAATAATTACTTTCAACTACTTTTCCTGATTCTCATTATAACAAGGCTTAAATCACCATCAGCACCAATGAATATATAATCAAGATTAAATGTAGCAAGTATACAAAGGGGTTATAAACCAGATCAAAAACGAACTCAGAAACTGACACACACGCACAGAACAGCTGATTTCCAGGGTAAATCAATTACGATGTCAAAACCAAATGATCCTGGTGTCCGTCAAGGATGCCAATTATCCTCATTTCTATTCAACTTCATCATAGATGTACTAATGGACTTAACCCTAACTCACTTCAGTGACTCAAGGATTGACTTGCTACCAGGGAATAATCGCGTTGACTTAGAATATGCAGACGATATAGTCCTTCTAGGCGAGGACGCTGACAAAATGCAGAGTCTTCTGAACACCTTGACCTGCAATCTGCGAATGTTTGGCATGCAATTCGCTCCCGCCAAATGTAAGATGATGTTACAGGACTGGACTACACTGACTCCTAGTTTAGAAATAGGGAATGAAGCGGTAGAGCATGCTGACCGCTTCACTTACTTGGGAAGTACCATCAGCCAGTGCCAACGGGTTGATCTCTGACGAAATCTCAGCACGGATACACAGGGCTAGTTTCGCGTATACCAGTTTATGCCGTCTCCGGCGTAGACGTGATATCCGGCTATCGACTTAAGGGCGGGTGTACTGCTCATCAGTCCGCTCCATCCTCCTTTATGGCTAGCTGTGAGACCTGGCCATCGAGAGTGGAAAACATGAAAAGATTAGCTGTCTTTGATCACAGGTGCCTGCGTTCTATCTTCCGTGTGAAGTGATGTAATAAGGTGAGCAACATTGGGGTTAGGCGTCGAGTGCCAGGTAAGGAGGGGAAATCAATCGACGAGGCTGTGAAATTACATCGACTGAGATGGTTAGGACATGTGTTATGTATGCCTAGTCATCGCCTTCGTCGACAATATGCAATGTTAGCTGATATGGGTCCAGGCTGGAAAAGAGCTATCGGTGGTCAAACCAAAATATGATACCAGTCAATGAAATCTACAACAGTTAGTTTAAGCCAGCTACGTAGGAAGGTGCAGACTTCCCGTCTTGTTAGGGTCCTCGGGACGGTAAGAACCAATGGTCGGAAACAATTGGTGATATGGCTCAAAATCGTTCTCAATGGCTGGTGCAGATGCGTCCACTCCTTGTGACTTATGATTTCCAATGAAATTGTTTTGTTCTTCGTTACTTCTATTCCTTTGTCTCACACCTCTGTTTACTGTCTCTATTATGCATTTCTTCTAATTTCTTCTCTTGCTTTGTGTGTTAAGTGGAGTGTGGCGACTTGAACTGCCGCACATATGTGCAAAGTTCTATGTCGAAAAAAGACAGACAGACAAATGAAACCTGATAAATTACGCAGTGTTTGAAATTGTGATTTAATGACTACATTTCTGTGATGATGCAGATGCATAGCCTTACTACTAGGGTATGTTGAATATGTGAACTCGCCATGGAATTTTTGGACTGAATATACTCTAGAAGCATTTTTCTCTACGTTTCGCCAGTATGACTGACCGACTGACTAGTGATTTCAACATAGAACTTTGCATCGATTTGAATTGCCCCACACTCCATGTAACTAACACATTAAGATAGACAAAAGGGAGAGAAAACAAAACGATTCAAAAAAACAATAATAGGCAGAAATGTAAGGGAGGGAGAATAGTATAACATGGAAAAACAATAGGGTTCAATGGATATCGGAGTCTACACCTCCCTACGCGGCTGGCTCAAAATAACTGCTAAAGATTTCATGGACTGATTTCAGGTTCTGGTTTGACCGTCACTAGTTCTTTTTCAACTCAACCCAATGTCAGCTAACATGGACCCTCGAGGAAGACAATGGCCAGGTATGCGTGACACATGTCGTTTTCATCTCAATCGCTGTGGCTTCACAGCCTCGTTAACTGACTTTCCCTCCCTACCTAACACTGCACGTAACCTCAATAATGCTCACCCTATTATACCGTTTGAAATGGGAGATAGAACGCACAAACCTATGATCAGAAATGGCTAGCCTTTTCATATCTTTCACTTTCGGTGGCCATGTCTCCCTCACAACCATAAAGGAGGACATAGCAAATTGACGCTCAGTACACACTTCCTTTGATCAATAACCAGTCCGATATCCCGTCTTCGCCAGAGATGGCATAAGTTGGCGAATGCCCCTCCAGCCTTTTGTATCTGCGCTGAGAATTCGTCAGCGATCAACCCATTGGCGCCGGCTGATGCAACTTCCCAAATAAGTGAAGTGGTTAACACGCTCCACCGACCACTTCACTTAGTAGGAGTCGACGTAGTTTAGTGAAGTCCTGTAGCCTCATCTTACATTTTGACAGGAGCAAATCGCACTCCAAACGTTCGAAGACTGCAGCTCTTCAAGGTGTTCACAAAAAACTCTGATGACTCACTATGAATCATGTCAGGGATTAAAATACAACAAAGACATAAACGTATTTAAACACAAAATAAGAGACCATTTACAGGAATTTGTTGTGACTGATGATGGACATAAGATAAACCTCCTTGATAACTGGAAGTCGTCGGTGACCCATAGGTTGTCAGTGACTGAAAAGTTCCATGTGCAGATTGAGAAGTGTTTCCATTTGCTGTATAGATGGGTGGATTGTTAGCAGAATGGCTTCCAGACTGAACATTAATACACGATTTAGAACGATTAAACGGTGAATCATTGTAACCAGCAACAACTGTAGCAGTCTGATTCGCCGGAATCGCAGGCTGTATTCCAACCAAGTTAGTACGATAAGATGTTGTAGAGACATTTTGATGACAGTTACCTCCATTTGGAAATGATGCAGAAATAGCGTTACCAGATGGACCATTCTGTAACAAAGCTGAAATAGAACAATGCAATGACAAAAATGTGATTGGTTCGAGTGAAGGGAAAATTGCGCAAATTAGGCAAAAGAGACAGGAGGTTCATTATAAACTATTGTGATTAAAAGAAATCACAAACAAAACTCACCTGATGACAGCAAAACATTACGGTTTTGTGAAGAAACTCCTGATGAATGAAGATTTGGTACAACAACAGGAGTCTGTTGTAAAGGTTGCACTAATTGTGCAGTCAAAGGAAACTGAGGATTGAAGGAAGGCTGTTGCGCCTGACCTAAAGCTTGTAGGGAAGCAAGACCTGGTAAACCATGAGTTGTGCGATTTATATGACTACCGACAGGGATTTGTGGGTGTAAACCAGCGGCAGCAGCAGCGGCAACCAAAGCTTGTGGATTGGAAGTAGCATTACGACGTTTAGGATCTGCTTTGTCAGCTAATTTGCAGGTGATCGGTTTATCACCACCTCGGACAATATGTTTTGCCTCATTCATCTGTTCAACTGCTTTTTCAGCTTGTTCTGCAGTGGCAAATCGAACAAAACCAATCCCTGAGAAGCAAAGTAAAAAAAACACGAACGCAGCAGTTATGCTAATGCTTATAGGATGATTCTTCGTTTGAAACAGAAGAAATAGACAGACAAAAGACCCTATTTGAAAGTGGCAAATGCCTCCTCCAACCTTGATATTAAATATCGCTACGGAATAACTGATTGCTTGTTACAAAATGCTCTTCCTTCTATTAACCAATAGGGACTATATATGTACGAGACAGCATGACTAGACTGGGACACACATAAGGATAATGTGTTAGATTTAATATACGATACAGACTACTACTGTGGTGAAAGCTGTCTGCTAGGCAAAACTGGTAGACAGCTATTTACGTCAATGTTCACGTCCCTATATCTTTCTTCATGAGAAAAGAAAAAGAACAAAGACTAACTCAACAACCAATCACAGTAGACTTTGTGTGGGCGGATACGAATCGCAGATACACGGTCTGACCTTCAAGGAAACGACCACGTATCCACGAACATAAGCTAGCCGTCAAAAGACATGATATTCATTCCCTCATATCACTACAAAGAGACAACACGGACATCAATTCATCTGGGACAACGTTCAAATATTAGACAGAGGAAACAACAAGAATGCTAGAGAATTTTTAGAAGCTTGGCATTCCACTGAATCATCAATCAATAGACACATAGAGATAGACAAAATTTATCAACCGATAAGAAAGAAACTCCACACACAAAGGGCCAAAGTTCAAGTTAAGGAAACAATCAGTTCCAATACAAGTAGCCTAGAAGGTGTGAAAACACACAAATACAACCAATCACGTCCGAGGTCACCAGGAGAGATGATTAATAAACTCATGGAGAAATCTAAAAGCTCACTTCAAATTTTGAAGTAGGCGCTGAAGATTTCACCCAGTAGGGTGATGAAAGCTTTGCAAATTAACCATCCAGCTGAAAGAACACAACCCCATCAAAACAAATTAATACTATCTCATAACAGAAACAGTGTAACAGGTACATTGACTATATCAAGAACATGGGCAGGTTTTTAAGTGGAAAGGTAATTTCATTGTTGAAACACAAAAACTTGGTAAGCTATTGGCTGTGTTAGTGAGCTACCTCCCCCACCCCACAAGTCTACGACTTCAAGTCTAATCTACAAGGTACTGAACCAGCATCACGAGCCACTGTGTTCCCATGGTTTCCATGACTGTAAAAAAAAAACACTCGTCCTTTTTCCCACCTAACTGCAATTGATCAACAACACTCGTACTATTATTTCTGAATGTACATTATCTCACATTGATTTTTAATCCAATATCAAATAGATTCCTCACATGTACATAAATAAAAGAAGAAAGTTGTGTGAGTTACTTGATATAATTATGAGCAATAGTTTGTGCTCGAAATGTCATCAGTTAATATAACTGTACAACACTGTGTGATTTATAAAAATAAAATCTTATGCATAATGAAGTTATACTCAACCACAGTGCCCAAGTTTTATACTTATACCCATGGTTTCCAGTAATCAAAAAACAGGTTTATACACTATTCGACTCATTCAGATTCTCGAGCCCATGTGCACTACGTTTGGAATCAGGGTTTTTCGAGTACTCTAAGTAGACGCCTATATATGTCTGTTTCTTTTCGACATAGAACTTTGCACATATGTGCGGCAGTTCAAGTCGCCACACTCCACTTAACACACAAAGCAAGAGAAGAAATTAGAAGAAATGCATAATAGAGACAGTAAACAGAGGTGTGAGACAAAGGAATAGAAGTAACGAAGAACAAAACAATTTCATTGGAAATCATAAGTCACAAGGAGTGGACGCATCTGCACCAGCCATTGAGAACGATTTTGAGCCATATCACCAATTGTTTCCGACCATTGGTTCTTACCGTCCCGAGGACCCTAACAAGACGGGAAGTCTGCACCTTCCTACGTAGCTGGCTTAAACTAACTGTTGTAGATTTCATTGACTGGTATCATATTTTGGTTTGACCACCGATAGCTCTTTTCCAGCCTGGACCCATATCAGCTAACATTGCATATTGTCGACGAAGGCGATGACTAGGCATACATAACACATGTCCTAACCATCTCAGTCGATGTAATTTCACAGCCTCGTCGATTGATTTCCCCTCCTTACCTGGCACTCGACGCCTAACCCCAATGTTGCTCACCTTATTACATCACTTCACACGGAAGATAGAACGCAGGCACCTGTGATCAAAGACAGCTAATCTTTTCATGTTTTCCACTCTCGATGGCCAGGTCTCACAGCTAGCCATAAAGGAGGATGGAGCGGACTGATGAGCAGTACACCCGCCCTTAAGTCGATAGCCGGATATCACGTCTACGCCGGAGACGGCATAAACTGGTATACGCGAAACTAGCCCTGTGTATCCGTGCTGAGATTTCGTCAGAGATCAACCCGTTGGCACTGGCTGATGGTACTTCCCAAGTAAGTGAAGCGGTCAGCATGCTCTACCGCTTCATTCCCTATTTCTAAACTAGGAGTCAGTGTAGTCCAGTCCTGTAACATCATCTTACATTTGGCGGGAGCGAATTGCATGCCAAACATTCGCAGATTGTAGGTCAAGGTGTTCAGAAGACTCTGCATTTTGTCAGCGTCCTCGCCTAGAAGGACTATATCGTCTGCATATTCTAAGTCAACGCGATTATTCCCTGGTAGCAAGTCAATCCTTGAGTCACTGAAGTGAGTTAGGGTTAAGTCCATTAGTACATCTATGATGAAGTTGAATAGAAATGAGGATAATTGGCATCCTTGACGGACACCAGGATCATTTGGTTTTGACGTCGTAGTTGATTTACCTATATATACCTATATATGTCTACACCAGTCAGTTAGGTTTTGAGCAACAGACGTTTCAATTCGCCGCTTCACATTTTGTATGGAACAGCATCTCCAGCGTGAAGGCAGTGTGAATAGGACTTACCTATCTGATAGAGGCTAGTGACGACGCATGGCTATATGATGAGTGCACTTCGAGAAGAGGACCGAAGTATTTCCACACGTTCGATCGAACCAGGTTGTCGTCGTCTATGAAATACTTGAAAATAACTATTCAAACTACTTTTCAATATGCAATAAACGTAGAAAGTGTCCGGAAAATAGAGTAATGTAAAGAACTGAGCGTCTCAGAGCCGTAAAATTTAAAATAACTCTCTCAGAATCGACAATACACTTTAGACAGAGGTTCAATATAACTTAAAAAATTATTCTACTTAAAGATACATACACAGTTTACGGTAAGATGGAGAAACAATGAGAAGAGGAAACTTTTTTCTTCTAAATGCCTAACCCACCTGTAAAGCCGGTAGACGTTTCAAGTAGTTTCACTGATGTAACATGTCCAAACTTTTGAAATAAATTTTCTAACATTTCTTTTGTAAAACCTTCACGTGGAAGATTTCGGACATAAACATTGAGAAGATCTTTTTCATTTTCATAAGCATATTTTACTGACAACTTGCGTCCATTATTTTTAGCACATTCTAATATATGAGCTTTAGCTTTTTCAGCATCTTCTTCAGAGGCACAATCAATGAAACCAGAACCTATGAAGATCAAAAAGAAAACAACAAAAAAGAAAATAACAGCTTTATTTTATTTTATATGCGATGTTTTGTCAACACATCAAAACTTCACTTGAAGCGTTAATTTTAAAAACAGATATGAGCGATAGGGGGTTAAATTGTTTAATAAGACACGGTGAAAGTAACCGCTGTGATACACTAAGAGAGATTTCCTCCTAATCATTATTGGAATCATTTCTTCTCTTTTTTACTTTTTCCAGTTCCTATAGATTGTGTGTAGATTGGCACGATCCAGTACGTTCAAGTGTGGGTGCAGACTTCGATCATTCTTTTGGAATGTTCTCAAGTGGTCACACTTTTATAGTCTACCTCTGCCAGGTAAGTCCTATTTTACACGACTTAGGTTGTCTACTCATAAATGTAAAATAGCGAATCCGAATGTTTGACATTTACAACCTGACTAACTGGTGGGCGGACTACAGGCGTCTACCTAAAGTGACTGGAAAACTCTGATTCCACACCTATGTAGTGCGCACACAAGCTCCAAAACCCGAAAGGATCGAATGAAGTATGGGCGTGTTTTGATGATCACCGGGAAACATAGGAACGCAGCTCATGACACTGTTCCACTGCCTTGTGAATCAGCCTTGAATTTGTAGACTAAGGGTAGTCTCTTAACACAACAAACTGCTTTGGTAAGATAATCATGTGGTATCCCAACCATCGTAAAAACTATGAATGCATCTGTTGGTGCCCATAATGAATTGAGCTTGTATTTTAATATTAATAATTGTTATTATAACACGACTACAGATCACTGTTATTATTGCCTTTAAAGATCGCACATTTAGTATAAACTTCACACTCCCTAAAAAGTTATATTGGAATTTTTCGGTTCAAGTATTTACATCAATAACTAACTATTTATTAATAGCTTAATGAACTCACTGTTGCTTCACCATGAGCTGACATCAGTTAGAGAACCACTCGAAAGCCAGCCAGCTAGGAGTACTGGACAGCTGTTTCATCGGTCTAGTTTGGGACTCTTCAACAGTACGCACCCACTGGGGTTCGAACCCGGGACCTTCTGGTTACAAGGCAAGCTCATAGACGATTGAGCCACTGATACCCGATTCAATGGCCCATGAAATCTAACTTCTGCCAATTCACCATTTCGCAACGTCTTCTTCGATGAGTTACCGCCTTATCTTCAACCTGCTTTACCCTACTGGACCATTGGATCATGTTCCAGTGGCTCAATGGTCTGCGAGCACGCTAGCTTTGTAACCAGAAGGTCCTGGGTTCGAACCACAGTGGGTGCGTACTGTTGTAGAGTCCCTAACTAGGCTGACGAAACAGTTGTCCAGTGGTTCTCTAACTGATGTCACCTCATGATGAAATCCTTTATCCAATCAAACAAAATCCCTACAAAACCAATACTTGAAAACTTACTGAAAAATTTATTAAAATTTCTATAACACGAACACACACACCCTGTTTATTTGAACCCAGTTACCCAGAACATATTTAAACTATGAGTCAAACTTATTGTATGTGATACTGTCCAGTTGATCAGGCTGACGTGGGGCTCGAACAGAGGACTAAGTGGCTTTAACTCGCGTGTTTAAGTCAAAAAGAGAGCCACATCTCTACACATATACATATATATATATATACATATATATCCTGGTTATTGTATTTGTTGCAGGTCCACAGTATATATCATCGAACATTTTTATATTGTTTACAACAATCATATTCCTCTGACTGAAAAATTACAGAGATACCTACAGATAAGGACTTCAAGTTTTTTTTCAGTTTAATTCACTTTTGGTGATATCTAACTACGATTTGAATAGGATATAGAAGATTAACAGTTGATGTTGAAAACGTTTAGACCTATGCATACTACTGAGTGCAAGGAATCACAATTATTGATTTTTTGTGTGCAAAAGAAACAAAGACACCACAATAAGACTTCCTTAATATCACATTCTAACAAGATGCATGCCAGGCTATTCAACCAACACTTTCATTCTCATTCAGTTATCAACTAGCTACACTTATTCTATTGTGTAAGAGGGTTTGTAGTATTACCTAGTTGGCCAAATCCCTAGGTAGGTAGGTGGTGGGGCGGGGTTCGAACCCATGACCCCATAGCCGCCAGATGATTGAGTACCTAAACGAGAGTAAGTCACAGCTCCACAACAAGGCACGATATTAGATGAAAAACTAAAGCATTCAATGATTCCATTGAACTGAAAAGAAAATGAGTGATATAAACAATTTTAACTAAATACTAACCTCTACATTTCCCATTGACCACCATAGCTTTACATGATTTTGGTTGGACAATATTTTCAACAAGTGAGCGGACTGTATCATCGGTATCGGACTCACTTAGTCCACTGATATATAAGTTAGTTTTAGAAGTAACAGTTGACTTATTTCGACGACCATGCTAAAAACAAAATAACATAGAAACAATAAACTAGAAATTGAGTTGTAAAAACAGTAAATCAGAAGAAAAACAACCTTGAACGTAGTTTTTTTTTAATTTCAGTTTACCAGTAGGAATAAATTACACAACGATATAACGACTTCAAATTGAAGTATGCGCTGAAGATGTCACCTAGTATGGCGATGAAAGCTTCACAAATTAACTATCCAGCTGACAGAACACAACCGCATTAAAATCATCCACCTGAGCTACAAATCTTCTCCATCATAACTAAATCTTACGAGTGGAACAAAACAGATGTGCCTGGAAAATGGTGTCATAGGAAGTATAGATTAATGTTCGATTTTATAGCGAACTGACTAAGTTACGAGAATATAGAAAACTAAGGAGTACTGGACAGTTTGTTTCGTTCTAGTCTGAGAATCTTTAGCAATACACACACATGACCCTAGCGGAAAGCGGGGCAGAGACGGGCTTGAAGTCAATCAAATCAATACTTGAAGATCAATGTATGACTCTCAACATGATAAGCAAGAAGATCGATGCGAAACGTGGTGCAAACGTGCATAATAGTTTAATATCCATCATAAGTGACCGACTATGATTCCCCACATTCATGACAATTATGGATTAATCCGATGCAGAAATAATCCCCGTCAAGAGTCAGTAAGGTGGGAGACTTAGCTAGTTGATCTTTGGAACTCAGGACAATAATCCAACTAAAATATACTTGAAAATTGTATATCACACAGAAAAGACAATAGTCAGTTGGATGTAACAGGCCAAACTTACCTGTGTTTGGGGAGCAGCACCAAAATGTTTCAGTGAATCAAACGTGCGACAATGGGCTGTCATATTAACCGCCAATGGTGCTTGTGATGGTACATTTGCATAAGTTTGTTGTATGTGACCTAGATTACCATTGCCCATTGCTGTTACCAAAGAAGGTGACAGATACGATAATGACTGACCATAGGGTACAGGTGCATGAGGCAGAGGTAACTGTTGAGAAGCTGGCTGTTGAAAATGCTGCAAATGGAAAGATGGATTTATCGTTGCATTAGGGAATTGACGCCCAGCAATAGGCGGTTCCATAGACTGATGAGCACCAACAGAAAATGAATGAGGGAAAGGATAGGCCAGATTATGGTGTGCATTATATCCACCAGGTGCTGATGGGATAGAGGAACCAGGTAGAACATTAGAAGAAAGGGTTGGACGCACATAACCACCAGGAGTAAGTGCACTGATCAGCATACTGTTAGAATCCATAGGGCCAGAAATATGACGATCAATTGATATTGCTGAACCGTTGGCGATAGTTGGATGACCTGAAATCGCCGCAATGATAGGCCAGTGTGGCTGCATATCTAACTGTGCGACGATCTCTAAAGAAATAAGATAAATTTATCATATAATGAGATGACGAAACATTAACAACAACTGTAGACAAATAAAACCTGTACAGGAATTTCAATTAACCCAACACTGAAGTAACAATCGGGACGAGATGTTAACCTCCAACAAAGATGAATGCAGTATCGAATTTTTATATAACAAACAGTATATTCAAAACATTTTGCGATAACAACGAAATAATGTCAGCGCCAGGTGATTACTGTCTACATAATTCGAAAACACAAACGGCAACTTGATGGGCGATCCTGTAAGAGACTGTTATCTACCCCTATAGCAAATCTAACCTTCAACTCACTACAGGAACGAGAACTGAAACCAGACTGGCTAAATCTGATTCATTTTGGCAGGTATTTTTCGAAAGGTGAGATGATAACAATTTTTTTCGTGCATACTTAACATCAAAACAGTCGGTTGTAATACGAAAGAAAAGAGTTCGCATGTGAATAAGTAATTACGAGTGTTGCAAATTAGTGATTCCATGAATAGTGGAGGAACTATCGGTAGGAGCATATCTAAACTAGGCAAAATAATCAGAATATAGTGTTATAGTGTCAATACAATAGGAGGCAGTTGTTAACTTCTAAGTATACTAATTCACTGAAAGTCAACCTGTATGCATGTGACTCAATCCCCGTGTAGATCAGTTGATGCGGTTCACTGCGGGTATATTGAATTACAAGTAGTGTTGAACAGGACCACCAAAAGTTATTGATCAGACACTCAAAGATCCACCATCTGAAAATAGTGGGCTTTGTTGTGTAGATAGGGTATTGTACTACAAATAAAGTTACAACTACAGTCATCGGAAAATCAGCTTCCACTCATGTATATAAATGAAGAAAAATGTTGTGCGAATAACTTGATCTGATTAAAGGGCGGCAATAGTTTGTGCTCGAAACGTGGTCATCAGTTAATATTACTGTATAACACTTAGCGATTTATCAAAAAAAATCCTATCTATAATGGTTATACTACTCTGCCACAATGCCCAAGTTTTATGCTTTCATCTATGGTGTTTACTATGAAGAATGATTGGATTTGCGTGTACAATTAAAGACAAAGTTTAACATTTGGTAATGCCAGTCAGAGCGTTTCCTTTCCTCACTGCACTTGATTTATAGGAACAGATTACAAAGACACGATAGAAACTAAACAGTACATTTTTAAAAAAGGCAACCCATCGCATAGAACATATATATATATATATATATCAAAGCAATGTACACTAATATTCAGAAATACCTACCGTAAAATAATTTTTCCAAGAAACTGTCCTTTATATAATAATATATATAAAAATTATCCTTCTGATTATTATAACAAGTCAGTTAATGGATTTGAGTTAGAATGATGAAAACTGAATTAGTCGCTCCCATGTGTTGAAAATGAAGGTATGAAAAACGTATTCCGTAAAAAATACCTAAAATTGAACAGTGATTAAAAGGTAGGTTGATATCAATGGTAGTAACATTCATTAAATTGTATCAAATTGAGGAAGATTTAAAAACCAACAACTAATCAGGACAATATCCGATTTTAAAAACGTCTTTTCTCTTCAACTAATCCAGAAAACTGTCTGGAACAATACAGAAAACAGGAAGCCCAGCTGCAGTGACAATTTTGCAAATTTGACTTAGTAACGAAGTTTTAGATAACAGTTACGTAATACATTAAGTGTTAGTCAAACAAACGTGATATAATTTAACTGAATCGACTGAGTTGAACTCAACTAAAATTGGAACAATTAGTTTAACATCAGTGTCATATAATACTAACAAACTGATCTTAACTTGACTCAACCATAGTAGCAAAGTATCACAGTTACCACGACATGAAACTGATACAATTTTTGCTGTGTAATCATTTGTTCTAATTTCTGTCTATTATGCTAACAATCTAATATTATTTAATTGAACTATGGACACTGGGTTCGAGTCTCGGTGGGAACAACACCACTCACTGGGGAATGCAGGTACATCCAGCTGACGAGTCCCGAGTAGAACGAAATGTGCATCCTGGATCCCAATGCTAGTCACCATCCACCAATTAAATATCAATCTAATACTTCACAATCAAGCTTATTTCCTGCCTTAAGCTCCAATCACAGCAGCGTTTCTCACGCTAGCTTAATAACATTTAACACAGGCACCATTTCTCAGTCTAATATTTATATTCTTTGTTGAATTCAGAAGCATTGGTTTTTGTAGGGATTTTGTTTGATTGCATGGAGGATTTAATCATGAGCTGACATCAGTTAGAGAACCACTGGAAAACCTGGGAGTACTGGACGGCTGTTTCGTCCTAGCTGTCCAGTACTCCCAGGTTTTCCAGTGGTTCTCTAACTGAATTCAGAGGTGCCAAAACTCCGATAGTATCAGGATCATCTCATCGGATTTACATTTTGCTTGACATGATGAACGGCATCAGTGTAATTTATAAGATGTCTGACTAGAGAGCTTGGAAAAGTAGGCTTGGAATATACTGATATGTTTCTTATCGTAAGAAATATTTCAAATGTATACACAAGACACTACTATACAACTTTTGCGTTATCTATTCCAGGAGTCTCAGCTCATCTGACTCCATAGCATATTTCTTGATTTTATTTCAACAGGTCGCACAAACTTTCGAATTGCAGTTCACTTCACGCAAAAGCCTTGAGTTATCCTGTGAACAAATAAATCTGGAAAATCCGTGTTGACCATTAGTGAAATCTGGTTGCCACTTGCTTGGTACATGAAGTCTGACTCACAGGACAGCAAAAAATGTAGTAAAACTCTATAGGACTTAATGTGCTAAACTAACAAAAATTTAATACAACAATCTGCAACACTATCTACTTTGGGCAGTACTAGGTGACTCAAAGAATAATTGCCCCTCTGACGTGATTGGGTTAGCATACTGTGGTGATTCGATGACCTATGATAGCTGAAACGACTATTACAGAAGGTAACACCAAGAAGTTTGAGTAGATAACAGCAAGAGTAAGCGGTTTACATTATGGTGTCCGAGTCATAGTAGAGCCACAGCGCTCAAAAAGATACAGTAGTGAGGTGCTTCGCTTGGATGACCAACAGACCATCTCTGTTGCTTCCTCATTCTGCTTTACATATTTTAAAACGCTGATTAGACCGGGAGTGACCGGCACCAAGTAGCTGTCCCTGGAGCTCTTGTTTTCTACGTATAAGACACACAATTTCGCAGTGTCGTAAAATAAGAAAAGGTCAGTTCCTCCAAATCATCAGTGGATTATGACAAGCCTAAGAAATAATTTGCCATGTTAGAACATAGCAACTGACGCTTTGGTAGTTGGACAGGCAGCACTACTAAGTTTTATACTGGCATCTGGCATTCAGTAGAGGCTTAGATGTAGTTACAGTTTTCAGCTGGAAAGACTCACTTGGTGAAAGTTCATTGCGAAACCTATGTGCCGAACAGGACAGGAAAACTTACTATAACAAGTGAAAGCCCTGGAATTCTGTCAATACAATTGGCTCACTACTGGTTACCAGGAGTATGACACTTCGACAATTAAGCAAACTTATGCTTTCGTTCGAAATACGAATAATGTCAGTTGTGCTCAAGCGACAGAATCTAGAAAGCGCTATGACATGAGGAGTAACATGTATGAAACCATAAGCGAACAGAATGAAACATCTCGCAAAACTAGTCAGTAGAGCACAAACCTGTTTAAAGTTCACGCATTTTGCTTTTTAGGCCTTCAGTTGAATGCTGAATTGGTGTGAATCCAAAGACCTCACGAAAAAACCTCTTGACTCCAGGAAATGACCTCACCTTACATGTAAATCACAAAACCTTGATCTAAATAGACTGGCTATACGACTTCACTGCAGTTACCTCAATAAGTAAACATATCTCACCATTCATCGTCTGCTGAACCTAAAATACTTATATTTTTTTATTCCTTTGCGTTCCCAGTGGAACATAGGGCTCCAAGTTATAATTTTGAATTATAAGAAGCAGTGTTTTCTTCACAGGACGGGTTGCCAGCCTCATGCCCAACCTTCCTTCTTTATCGGGCTTACTACCAGCTAAACGAGGTAACGAAGTGCACCTGTCAGAGATCGAACTCCAGACCATTTAGGTGATGGGCCAATGTTCCACTAACAAATCAACGATGCACACACTGCTTATTACTTTTGACTGTTTAAGACCAGCATCGGTTGCCAGTCCACAAGGATATTAATTTACTCCATACTGTGCATGAAGTAACAACTAAATTACTTCCATAGTTGCATCATTCAAGGAAACATTTCTCACCTCAGATTCAGAAGTAACGCGTCAGGAACAGAAGCATATTTTGACCAACTGCGGAAAGGCTACATTAGAACCATGTACATTAACATGTACGGAGTAGTCTCGCTGCATGTCCAAGGAATATCATAGTGTAAACTGGCAAAACCATGTAACCGATAGAAACATCACTGAAGATAACTCGAATATTCTCGACAAAGTCACTTCACACCATCCTCATATTTTAAGTATGTAATAATTTGTTGAGTTTCATTGACGTTATTTCAATGACCAAGTTTTACTAACTCATAACTATGTTCCTTATAATAGTTAGAGGAAATATTACTGAAGGCATTTCAGATCAACAGCCTTGTGCAAGTATATACATTACACAAGAAATAAAACATTTTCAAAGGCACTTGTGTTGAATCGAATAGAGAAACGGAAAGCACTAATCAATGGGTGAAATGTTAGACAGATCTTCCAAAAAAGTTTTGGTTGCACTAAAACTTGATTTCGTCCTACTGCTTAGCGACGCAAGTAAGACCATATGTTAATGAACACAGCATGTTTTTTCTATTTCACTTCACCTGTGGAATAGCTCCAGAAGCAAATGAAGAAATGGTAAACTACTAGAGATGGCGCAGGAAGGATACAGAGGGACAAAATCTTGAAATAAGCGAAATATCACCCGCATCGATTGCAGATTACTTTGAGTCATCCTAACACTTAACTTAGTGATCGACAATTTAAGAAATAACGATAATAGGTGACAAGGCATGGATGCATAATGCTTCCCTAGGACGAGAGAAAAATCACCCTTCCATTTTCAAATTTACGTATGCCACTACCACAAAGTCACGTATTCAGATCTGTGATTGTTAAATAAAACCAGTTCTTACAGAACTATGGCATATAAAGGTCAATAGATACTCTGACGCCTAAACATATTCCCTATTTGTAACAATCAAACTATTATTAAAAAGAAAATTGACAGGTAATAAAACATAAAACGTTAGCAAAACCGAATTAACCAATGTACAAATAGAATTACCGATTCCCTAGACACGTCTTCATTATTAAAAATTATGAGCAGATAAGACCCTAGAAGAAAAACATGGCGGACCAAAAAACAACAGATGGCGGTTGCAATAAGACCTTGGCCTTCACAGTTGAGGCATAAAAACAAAAATGGTTAACTATTGTACATTTAAAAACAAAAGGAAATGTTTTTAATCTCTATTCAGATTATGAAATTAATGGGAAGGGAATCCGTTTAAGATTTACATGTTATAACTAATTCTGAAATAAGTCGAAAAGTCATTCATATGACTTTCAGAGAGATTGTCACAGATTTTATATAATAACACAGCAGATAACTTTGATGATGAAAGATTGTCTCCATATCAAAAATTACAAAAAGGACTGTGACACAAAGAATTTTCGAAAAATTCCTCGGAAGCCTAAAATAAGGCTTGGATGCATTATTATTCAAAACCACACCGGGTTAAGTTGACTTTTTTCACTTCCATCTTCTAGTGTTAGTTTAGTAATGACTAAGAATGGTAAAAATATCCTCTAGGAAGATTTATGGGACCAGAAAATGGGCACAGAGGAAGCTGTGGCTATTCAAATGTGATAAATGCCGACTCATGACACTTCCCACGTAAGTAATACGACGAGTTGTGTAGACAGTCTCACCGATCAAAATAATAACTTCTAGACGCATACGCTTCTGTAAGAAGGGGGAAAGACAATATGCAACTTTTTTACCACATGCCTCACACTTAATTCTTAAGTTGACAGTTATCCATACGTCTACAGTCTTTATTCAGGTTTCAACGCGCGAAATTCGGAGAGGGAGAAAATTTTGCCTCCTCTTCTATAATTCTGACTTTTGTTGTGTTATATGCTCCAAAGGTTAGTAGGTTAACTTTAAATCAATTTAATCTGATTGAAGTTAGCTTACGTTCTAGTCTTGAGTCGATTTAATTATAGGTGTCAATGTAGTTGGAGAATGAACGATCAATTCATGGTTGGTTACTCAAACCCAGCTCCGTATTTTGGTGGGAGTCATCGATACTGCAGTCATCGTTCCACCGTTCACTTTTCGTTAGAAGACGGAGAAATACTATCAGAAGTATTATTGTGATTTATTGTTATGACGTTAATTCTTAGAATTTGTGTACAATATCCTAGTGTTTGGCTCTGTATTGATGCAAGAATAAACGGTACTTGAGCCACCAATATGTGTTCTGGTTTTTCGTGTTAGTTATTACGCATAGTTTATGAAAGTCTCACAAGGACAGCGTCAGGTCTGGTGTAGTAAGACCTTAATACATCTGCTGAGTTTAATATTAATCAATTTATTCATGGATGTAGAAGACTCAAAACAACTTCAGAAGTAAGCACGACGAAAATTTTATCAGTTACACAATACAACAAAGTACGAAAACAACAAGAAAACACAGTGAATCCAAAAACACCAATTGATATGACACACCACACGTATGTACAAAGAGCGCACATAACCTCACACACTGTCCTTGTCAGACTTTCTGCAATTATGCGTAATAACCGACGGAAAAAACCAAAACACAAATTGGTGACTCAAGAATCTTTTATTCTTGCACCAATACAGAGCCAACTATTAGGTTATTGTACACAAAGTCTAAGAATGAATGTCATAACAATAAATCACAATAATGCTTAATAATAATATTTTATTTCTGGAACAGAAACCAGCTATTTTTACAGGCATGAGCATATGTACACTTATTAGAACTTATAGAACATATAATATGATTTGTTAATTTATAAATAATTTGAATACTGGTAAATGTGAGAGAAACATTTAAAAAGAAATGTACAAATGAGGGAATAGATAATTTTTGAGGTCTGCTTTCGACCGAATAATTCATAAGATATAGCGTCAAATCTAAAATGTAATTGAAAAAAATACGGCGTGTCAGTTTCACACGGGAATTATAAATGATTGCGTTGGTCGTGGAAGGTAAGTAGCATTTTTGCACGGGTGCTGACGTGATACATAAGAGATGCGGAATAAACAATGATTATCAGTAAACGATTCATAAAGTGCTTGAATGCCTATAAAACTTCAAATTCACCGGTAAGTACACCATATTTGTGACATTTCCAGTTGTATATGAGACCGACTTTGAACTTGTCAGCAGATTTTATAATATAGGTGGTTCCGTCATTTACCAGATGAGCTGGCAATATCCCAAATAAGTAGAGAATAGCAGCGCTGTATCAGTGCCTTCGTTGAAGGCAGTAGCTTTGGAAAGTATTTGAAAGAGTATTTCTCCGTCTTCTAACGAACAGTGAACGATTGAGCGATGACTCCCACCAAAATGCGTAGCTGGGTTTCAGTAACTAACCATGATTTGATCGTTCATTCATCAACTACATTGATGACAAACTTTACAATTCATCCGAAACACCTTTTATGGATAGGTTTAGAAGATATATAAACGTCGACTTTATGTCGTGTCTCTATAGTATGTTTCGCAATAGAGGATATAGATCTTCTGTTCCCACCATTAATAGACTCTGGAGTTTCTGTTTGCTTCTGGAGGCATTTAGGAATATACTCTGAAGCCCTTACTAGCCGAGATTGATGCGTCCTTCTTAGGCGGATGTAGCGAATGTTTCTAAACCTTACGCTTTTAGCTTTAATAAATATAGAACTCAACGTCTACATGATTTCAAGGCAGTCCTGAAAATTGCCGTTGTACAAACGACCATAATATAGCTTCAGGATAAAATCGAAACGCGGGAAGTCTATGGAAGCAAACTCAATAATAGGACAGAATGGCGCACAACTAAAACGTCTTTTCGTACCTGATCACGATGATGTCATTTAAATCCACCAAAGTACCAGAATATGTTGTAGTGTGCCTTTATCTCAGTTAAATTTTCGGCCGAAAACAGAGAACACCGCAATTGTTCGTAGAACATATTGCAGTTTCTGCTTTTACATGAACACCAATCTTTGCTTGTATCTATGGCTTCCATTGACTTTTAGGAGTCGAAACACCACACCAAATCGCAGAAGCACGAATTCGAAATCAGCCATATTCTTCGGTTTCTGCAACACGAATAGGCACTGCACAACAGCTAATCGGAGAATTTACAACCAAGTACAGGTTACCAGCAAACTGCGAAGAAATAATTCAAAAGATAGTCGTCGAAATGTGCGCCAAGCATACTCGGCGTGCAAAATAATTCAGATTTATTGGTTGAGGATAGAAGGCTTGGAGCCAATGCTAATCCTTTTCTGGAAAATTTCTGTAGTTGTCCAAACCCTTCTTGAACGAATCAGCTGAGGCTGCAGACACCACTTCTTCTGGGAGTTGGTTTCAAGAGTTTATAACTCGGTGTGAGAACCATTACTCAACAGCAATATGATTTCTCCTTGGCTTTTGAACTCTCCTGCTATGTCATCTAAGGTGTTCCGACCTGGTGGGGAGGGAAAGAGAGAATAGGTCAGGTCCGTAGTCATTATTTAAAATTTTAAACATTGTGATTAAATCTCCTCTCTACCTACGGTATGATAAGTAGAAGAGATTTAAACTGTTTAGTCTTTCGTGTTATGATAAATTAGTCATGCCAAGAATCATATGTGTTGCCTTTCTTTGAACCATTTTTAGAATGTGAGAGTCCCCTTTGTGACATGGACTGGCTGGTTGCCTGGATACAGTTTTGCAGTTTTGATCTCATCAGAGATGTATAAAAGGAGATGAACACATTTCTGGTGATAATAATAAAGGCTCTGCGAATCTCCCAAAGGGATCTGAAACTAGGTGCACCCGCCGAGCAACAGTGTGTTGTAGTTCTTAAATCGTCGCTAACTACGACACCTAAGTCCAAATGAGCCCGAACTGATGGAATTATCATTCCCTCTAGTTCGTAGGATCTGATGCCTGTTTGTCCAATGCTCTTGGTTGCATGTTTTGCTACATTAATCGGGGGCATCCATTCTCTGGACCATTCTTACAGTTTTTTGAGGTCATACTGCAACGTTAGCTCGTCACTGTAGCCCTTCAGCTCTCTCCAAATTTTAAGTCATCCGCGTATAGGACCACAGGGGATTCGGTGAGCACAGGTAACTCATTGATATACAAAATAAATAGGAGAGGTCCGAGTACCGTGCCTTGTAGGCCTCCGCCACGCACTGCTTTTCAAGAGGAAAGAGCTGATTCTAACATCTACAAGAACCCGTTCTGATTGCTTGTGAATTAACTGAACAATTTAAACTATTGAAAAAGTATCAATTTATGATACTTCAGGATAGTAATTTATAACATAAGTGATCTTGCCTCTAAAAATGGCACATATTCTTGCAAACGCCAGCTTATACGAAATATAAATTATAATTATCTATTGGGAATTCCCTATTCTACTTTAGTAACCTGCCCTTGATACCAAGAGTTTTCAACTTCATGAGTGGTCCCTCGTGAGGAATTTTATCGAAGGCTTTGCTGAAGTCTATGAAGACGACATCAACGGGTCTTCTGTTATCCTTTGATTTGACCCAGCTTTCTCTTGCAATGAGCAGATTTGAAAGGCATGAGCGGGTTCCTCAGAAGCCATGATGCGTTCTGGATAAGAAATGCTGTTTTTCAGACATGCCATGATACTTTTCTTGATGACTCTTTCCAGTGACCAGTAAGTCGGTGGCACAGTGGTTAGGACTCTCGCTGACCATGCACATGGTCCGGGATTCGATCCCCTGCCGACGAACACCTGATGTCTGTGGCCGGCATGCAAAATTTGGGCTACCGATATCACATGCTGAAAATACCTACTTGTACCAAAAATATGGTGTGGTATCATGCTGTAAATAAAAAGTAAAAATAAAAAAATCATTAAAGTGCTGGCGAGACTGACAGGCTTGTAATTTGAAGGGCTTTGTCTTGATCCTCCTTTTGGATATGGGTCACTACGGCGCCCTTCCAGTCACGAAGTAACACTACCTTTAGGAGATGTAGCTTGAAGGTCGTGGCCAATCGGCAGGCTGTATTATCTGACGGCTCACTGAGAAGCCTTGGATGAAGCTTGGTAGGAACCATTGTCAATGTAGTTGAAGATTGAACGATCAATTCATGGTTGTTTGCTCAAATCCTACTTCCCTATATTTTTGCGGAGGCATCGATACACCAGTCATCGTCTCATCGGTCGCCGTTCAGAAAGAAGTCAGGAGACAACCGTCAGAAGTAATATTGTGATTTATTATTGGAATATTTGTTCATAGACCTTAGTTAAAAATTAATTTAAAGCTGCCTATATGTTGGTGTTACA